AGAAGTATATATGATGATTTAGGATCACAGTCAGCTTATGTAGTCAATGCCAGCTCATATATGTAGCGTACACCTTAGATGGACTGAATTGTTAAGGTTAGAACAATACATGCTTCTTACCTTATCATCTAGGGAAACCTTACATTTCCAAAAGTGATTCCTTGTGTGTAATGGTGTGAGTTTCTAAACAAGCATATGCATGTATAGCATTGAGCGTGAATATGGCTGCACAAACACAATAGTTATATTTTGATTAACAGTAAGAAAGAAACAATTCCCATGAGTCTGACAGAACTATGATAACATTTATAGGTAATAATTATTGTGAAAGGGTGGTCACTATTATCTGTTTGTGGAGAGCACTGCAAGCTAAAGATATTTGTTGATTATTTAAACTTCTAAAGAGTGTCAGTTTAGAAGTTTCACCTGAGACTACAGAGGGTGGGCAGGAAATCGGAGGAGGATACAAGCTCTTGTGTGGCCCTAGTGGTCATAGGCAGTCACTTTATTCACCAGCTTTGGCTGGTTCTGCTGGAACCCTCTGACTGACCAACTTCTGACAGATTCATAATAAGAGTATTGATTTTAATTTTGATTTAATTTAAACTGTCAATCAAGTTTCAAATAACTTTTATGAAACTGTGGTGGAAGTCTGCTTTGTAACGATCTATTGTGGCAGCAAAAACTGAAACTTTACACACTGACAAAAAACTGGTCAAGAGCCCCTGGACCTGATTGTAAAAAGAGGTTAGCTACTCAAGTTAGTGGAAATGATCAACCTGATAATGACATATTGAAAAATGGAGTATCTTCTATAACTATGCTGTGATGCATTGTGTATATTTTAATTTGGTTAAAACATTTGATGAATAATTTCAATTAACCATCGTCGTTTTTTTGGGGGGGAATTTCATACCATCAGAAAAACTATTATTCAGACACTACTTTCATTTACTGTAACCATTTTTTTCTAGAGATAATATACATTTCCCTTTTTCTTTTTTTACCGCTACCCCTTCATCCCCTTTGATACAAAGCATTTGGCGAACAAAATTACTTTTTGAACTGAAGGTGAGAATATTCCAGACCCTGCTGTCTATTTCTCCCTTATCTGGACGTGTAAATTAAACGTGACATATTTCTGCCTATCTATTTAAGAAGACAATAGACAGATCTCACACTCCTTCTTTTAAGGAAATTGATAGATTACCAAAACTGTGTTGAATGTGTTGTTCACCTTTGTACATGTTACATTTAGCTACTTTTTAAGTATTTATGTTTGCCATCTAGTGATCTGCTGCACAAAACCCTATTGTTATTATACACACTTATATTATTAACTAAGACAACTGTTAACCAGTGTTTCCCCATTATGTATTTTGTTCTACATTTTAAAGCACAGCATTATAGCATGATTTGGTTCATGTCAGAACTATAATACACCTTATGGTAATACTTTGACACGTCATAAGTGATTAACCCGGGGTCATGGGGTAATTTTGGTCTTTAATAATCAGACACCCTCTGGCGGCCCAGCCAGGGGTGATCACTTCCCAGCTTGTGTCCAAGTAGCATACCACGGATCCCCCCCCAAACGATCCACAGCCACTGCGAGGCGAGAATGTTCTTGGTGGCTTTCCTCAAGTGCAGTCCTCTAACACCAAGGAGTGTGAACACTCTCTGGAGTGAATGTCCTGCAAAACCTCTGCACCCGATTTGAACAGGTTCGCAGCGGTCCTTCCAGCCATTGCTCCGGCACTCTGTGGTGAGCTCAGAGTATTTGGCCCTCTTGTGCTCGTTAGCCTCCTCGATCCGATCTTCCCATGGGACAGTCAGTTCCAGTAGGACCACTTGCTTGGTGCTCTCTGATGTTAACACCATATCTGGGCGGAGTGAGGTGGTAGCTGTGTTTACTGGGAACTTGAGTTGCCGTCCTAGATCAACTTGGAGCTGCCAGTCATAAGCGGTAGCGAGGAGCCCTCCTGAGGAATTTGGTTGGTGGTTTGCCTTCTGCCCTGCTCTAGCAAAGGTTATTGACTGCTTTGGAGCAACCTGGGTGTTGCTGTTCGGTATCGCTGTGCTGATCGGATCCGCCAAGGATTTTAGAACTTGGTCGTGGCGCCAGCGATACCGCCGATGAGCTGTTCGAGCCCCTGAAGGATCCACCTGCAACCCTGGACAGATGTGGTAATCACTGTTAAGTCATCTAGAAACGCTTTTATAGGTGGCTGCCGGGTCCCAGATCTTGATTTGGGCCCTCTGCATGCGACCTCAGCAGAGTCAACGATCATGGTCATGGCCAATGAGAAGAGAGACACCAAGTTAGCACAGCCAGTAATTATGCCCTCCAGGCGCTGCCAGTCAGATGTTACTTGGCCTGAAGAGACTCTTATGCTGAAGTCGTTGTAATAGTCCATGATGACGTTGCAGACCACTCCTTCATGCTCCAGGCACCCAGGTACTCCCAGAACTTCCCCCTTCTAGACAGAGGTGTCTATGTAGGCGTTATTCAAGAAAAACTCTGTCAGACGTTCAGACACAATCTTAAAGAAAATCTTACTCTCAACGCTAAGCAGTGAGATTATCCGAAACTGCCCAATGTTACTAGAGTTCTCTTCCTTCAGGATCCAGCCGCCTTCGGCTTGCTTCCACTGGGTGGTGACTTTCCCCCTCTGCCAGATCACCTTTAAGATCTTCCACAGGCATCTGAGGAGCGTTGGGCACTGCTTGTAGACCTAGTGGGATATGCCGCTAGGGCCGGGGACCGAACCAGATCTTGCAGCTTTAACAACCTTGCTTACCTCTGACAGGGTGGGCTCAGCACTGTTTAATTGGTACACTGGTTCTGCGGGTGTTACCAGTGCCTTGCAAGGGCCAAGCTTTTGATGTCCTGAAGTGTCACTGAAGGTGGTGTTGAGATGCTGGTTAATCTTTTCTACAGGGAAAGCAAGGTAGCCACTTCGCTTCTGTCCCAGTAACCGCTTGGTGAAGGCGAAGGGGTTGCCAATGAAGACACTTCGCTTTCTGGCCCTTTCCTTGCCTTTCCTTCTGTGCCACTCGGCCCTTTTCAACGTGATTAGTTTTTTCCTTATGATGCTAGTAAGTTCCAACAGAGGAGGTCTCTCCTCTTCCTTAGGTGCCTTGAACTGCCTTCTCAATGATTTTGGTTCTTGTCTGAGCTGGTTGACTGTGTCGAATGCAGCTGATAAGTCAAGCAGGATAAGTACTGAGGACTTTCCTGTTGCTCTCGCCTCTTTTAAGGGTTCTGTCACAGACAACAGAGCCCCTTCAGTGGAGAAGCCATTTTAAAACCCAGATTGGTTTGTATCAAGGAGATTGTTTTGTGAGAGGTATTCTGTGACCTGCTTAAAGACAGGGCTTTCAATTGTCTTTGACAAAAACGGTAGTAAAGAGACCGGCCGATAGTTTTCCACATGAGTCGGTGGGAGAGAGGGTTTCTTGAGCAGCGGTGTAACTAGAGCTTGCGTGTATGAGTTTGGAAATGTGCTTGATGTCAGTGAGGCACTGATAACATGTGTAATTGCTGCAGTTATCGTGGGAGCTATGGACTGGAGTAGATTTGTAAGAACAGGGTCCAGCAGGCATGTAGTAGGACGGCTACATGTGAAGAATTTAGACACACTGCTCCCCGTGAGAGGGGTAAATGAAGAGAATGAATCTGGGAGAATCTGTACTCTGAGAAGTTTCAGATGTGGGCAGTTCAGTAAAGTGTTTGCTAATAGGTGTCACTTTGTCAGTAAAATTGAGGCAAAAGTGTCTGCCGTTAAACTGGTAGCAAATGGCGGAGGAGGAGGGTTGAGTAGGGTCTTGAAGTTGGAAAATTGTTTTTGCGTGTCAGTTGTACTGTCAATTTTATCAGTATAGAAAGCCTTTTTTGCATCAGTGACGCTTAGAGAGAATGCAGACAACATTCCTTTATATTTTATTAGATCATCTGGATTTATTTATTTTTTGCCATTTTCTTTCTCCAGCCCTGAGGTTGGTATGCGGTGATTTGAGTGTATCATTAAGCCATGGGTGGGACTGAGAGGCTCTGGCAGGTTTAGTGGATAGAGGACACAGACTATCCAAGCAGGAGCTCACTGTGGAGCAAAGGGACTCCATGGCCTCATTAACCTCAAGTGAAGAAAATGTGCTGGAGTTTGGAAGAGCGAATGCAACATGGGAGGAGAAGCGGGTGACTTTAGGTGAAAGTTGGCGGAGGTTTCTGCAGAAGAAAACCACGGAAGTGGGAGCAAAGGGAGTTTGGGCGAGGGTTGCACTGAATTGAATGAAATAGTGAAAAATGCAGAGGTGTGACAGAAAGGGCCTATATAGCACATTTCCTTGTGAAAATTAGATCAAGCGCTTTGCCGGCTTTGTGAGTAGGAAGACTGCTGACCAGTTGTAGGTCAAAAGAGATCATAAATGTTAAGAAATCAGACGAGTTAGGGGAGTTAAGAGGGATATTCATACCACCAAGGACCATTGTGGGACAATCAAATTCATGAATGTAGGAGAGTACGATGCCAAGTTCGTCAAGAAAATCACCAAGTTGTGTAACCAAGTAACCAAGATGGCATGGTATTCAAAGATGGCATGGTTTTTCATGTCTGCATGTACATCCTGTATTTACGGCTGTCAAAACCTCTGTGCAAATATGTGCAGAAAGTGGAGAATGGAGAAATTTAATCTGTTTTTACCTGGGTGATGTTTACATTAATCAATGTGAATAATATCACATTTTAGCAATGAATGAATGAATGAAATGGAAAATGTTAATGTTGCCAGGCCTAACCAGATGACTGAATGCAGTGTTCAGTGTATGTGGTCATTGGGATGAAGTTCTATTTTCAGGCTTTGAAAATATGTTAGAGGATGTTAGAACGTTTTTGAGCTCTTATAAACTGTTAAGTGCTAATTTACAGCTAATCCTTACTGTTCATATATTTTATCTTCCAATGTTTCACACTGACGTGTAATTTTTTTCGCATTGTTATCTGCAGGATTTAAGTGGAAGCAATCCTCCCCAGAGGAACTGGAAAGGGATTGCCATTGCTCTGCTGGTCATCTTGGTGGTCTGCTCCCTCATCACCATGTCTGTCATTCTCCTCACACCAGGTGACATTCAGGCATGATTTTTGTGCTGTCTGTGAGGCAGCTTTTTGTTGTACTATTACATTTAAAATACACAAAATACACAAAAACTAATAAAAAATGCTCCGTAAAAATTAGCCCTTAAAAAAACTGTACTTGTACTTCACATTGATATACTCTTGACCACACAAAGTGTTTTCAGACTACAGCTGTCAAAGTCATTCACTCACACAGCACATTTATTTCATGTAGGCATATATAGATACTCATACTTATCAGTACATGAAAGCATGGCAGTAATTTGGCCAAGGATGCTTCAACATGTGTCTGAGAAAGCCACGAGTTAATCCACCTATCTTCAATCTGGTAAGCAGCTCCTCATCCCCCTGAGCTACAGCAGGCCACAAAGACACAGAAACAAAGTTTAAAGTCAACAACATTTAACTGTTCTCCAGTTTTAAATGTAGAAATGAAGGCCACCATTAAATCACTTTCTCAAAAGAGCCAAGTGCCAAAGGGCAAAAGGATTTTTTTCCCAAATGGCTTCACTTGCACTAACTTAATACAAAAATTACATGTTTCTTCGACCTCTCAATCACGTCACCTCAAAAGACAAGATTTGTTTTCCCCAAAAGCAATGGAAAAATAGTATTAACTAAATTCTAGTGTCTAACTTATCAAAATGACTTTCTGTTGGATGCCCATCTGTGATGCATGAATAGAACTTTCCCCAAACTATAAAAGATCATAATATACTGTGTTTCTGAAGAGATTATCCTCAATGGACATATTTCTGGGAGATAAACTTGGATAACTCTGAACCATACTATTATTTTTAGTGACTACTGTTTTTTCTTTTCAGAGGTTGATAATATTGGCCATGGCCAATAAAGTTATGGAAATCCATTTTCCTTGATTGGCATACACTTTAATTACCTACATAAGCCTGCATGCTGTATAGTGTAATCAAGGAAAGCAAATACTGGCTCTCCCAGTCCACTTGCTACACTGGAACAGCTTAAAGATTTCTAGTCCAATATTTCTTTTATTAATAGATATATGAGTTACCTTTTGAGACCATGTATATCTTTTTCCATTCATGAAAGGATTTCCTCATCTGTCTGCATGGGTTTATCAATTGCATCTTGATTAATATGAATGAACTGCACATTATATTTCTTGATTTACCCTAATGCATTTGGTTCAGTGCCACAGAGCATAATTTGGAAAGTGTTTCATTATTTTAGAATGCCGGTAGTAGTTGTTAACTTAGTAAAAGTAAGACATTAGACTGTGCCTGAGTACAGCAAGTTTCATCACAGGTTGGCAGAAGCTAGAAATAGGCATTCTGCTAGGGTATATGATCTCCCCATTGGCATTTATAATGGCGATGGAGGTAACTTAGAGCTTCTAAGCAGGTTGAAGGTGGAGAGAGAACTTAGGCCCTTGTTTCTACTTATTATTATTTTCCCTGTGTCTCTGCCACTTTCATTCTTTGTCCATCAGTTTCCTCTGGCTTTGCTCATCAGTTAAACTCCGTCGTCAAGTCTCCTTGGTTCTTTTTTTCCCCTTAGTTTAAGGATTTTGGTTTTGATACCCCAGTCTAGATTATACTTTTGTGCCCATCTTCTGCTAGACTTTTTGTTGATTTTTACAAGAAAAAATTTGTTCCTCAATTCCTTCTTCTGTGTTTTGTGGCCCTGCATCTGGATCCCTCACGTCTACACCCAAACCATGATGCACAGAACAGAAAAATGATTCCAAGTGTGACAGCAATAGACTGAAAAGATAACAATAATCAAATAATGTCTCGTTTAATACCTCACCGTGATTGAGATAATCTGATGTGATCTCATCAATTAGGTTTACAGAACCTTTATCTATGATTTTAATTTATGTAACTTATAATTACATTTACCTTTTTATTGTTCATACCCTGAAACTGACTTGAGAAGTCAAGCACAACACACATAAAAAAATATTCACGCAGGGTATAAGCTGGGTGTATGATTAAAAATTACTTGGTTTGCTATTCACCTGTGATGTTAATTTTCATCAGAAAACTGCACTCCAAAACAGTGTCTATTTTAAAAAAAGTATTATGCATATAACTGAATTTTTCCCGTTTTGTTTTTTGCAGCTGACAACCAAAGTGGGAGTGACACTAAGCTAACCATTGAGGATTTGTTCAAACCTGAGTTCAAGGTCTATGATCCAGAGGCAAAATGGATCAGCTGTGAGTAATCAACATAATTGTACCTGCTGGAATGAAGGCATGCGGGTGCATATAGGTCAGACCACTGTTATGGATAAAATATACTGACTGCTGGCCTTAGCTCTAATCTTGAACAAAGAGTCAAACCAACATTATGTTAAGCAGAAAAGAGAGCTATCTCAAGGTATTCAGTGCCTGTTTTTACAGAAGTCATCATCTGAATTACGTAAAGACTTTGTTGACAGAATGTGGAAGTGCTTACGTAGCTTTTAACAATGTTGGTCAACATATATTGCAGACACTCAACTGCCATTACTTGACACTACTGACACCATATTGAAACAAGCGTGCTCTGTAAGCACAGTCAACATTGTTGCTCTTGTGCAGCGGCATTGAAATGAAATCTTTACCTTCTATATGCCTTTTATTTATTCATTTTATGTTTTTATGGAGGATTAGTGAAAATGCCAGCCAAAACTTAGTATCTACACAAGGTTTACATGTGTCGTCCATTTTTTTCTTTGTATCTTCGTAGGCATATTTTGATGTTGGGATACATATTCCCAACATCAAATGTAAATAAATGTAAATAAAACTTAGGAATCAAAGGGGAAAGTGGATCTAATACATCATAGTTTGCTTATTGGAATAAAAAGATATTACAGATGAGAATTGGACAAGAGTGCATTTTTTGTCACGCATGCATGTGCTGTCCTGTCATCAAGTACGACACACGCATGAGGCTAATGTGGATGTTGAAGAACTATGACTTATTTAAATGCCAGAGAGGGTTCTCTCTCTGTCTTTCTCTCTCTCTATATATATATAGCCTGAAATTTGCACAAAATAATAGTACTTGCTCCTAACATTATCCACAGAAATATAAAGATGACCATGCAGTAGCATGGTTGGACTCAATTAATATATGCACCATGAGTTACAGGTTACTGTGTCTTTAAGGCTTATAGTTGTGGTTTATGGCAAAAGTGGTAAATGTAAGGTTCAACAGCTTCAGTGGAGGTCTGAAGACTGCAGCAAAAACATTCAGGCCAACGTTTGCTAAATAATTCAGTTGTTGCTATGCATATTACATTGTGCCAAGAGTTCCCAAATGATCATAGTCTCTTCACCTTTTCAACGTTTTGCTACTGTTATGCTACAGTGTTTTCAATCTCCCTCTTTAATGTAGATTTAAGCTGCAGAGGGCATGTCTGCAACAAAGTTTGAGAGAGAGAGAGAGAGAGAGAGAGAGAGAGAGAGAGAGAGAGAGCCCAAGACAAGTTGTAATTACAAACTTGATCATCAACTTTTGGCCTAGAGTGGTCAGGTACCAGGTATACCTATCAACCCCTTAATGCTCAAGCATGTTTACATGGAAGTTAAAAAAAAACAAAGCACCACCAAATGAGCTTCATTCCAACCCCATGCTGTGTGTGGCGGTGGGCACAACTATATTTATCTTTTAGCACAATTCCTGTCTGAGAACAAGCTAGAGAAATTTCTAGTGCGTAAATGTGGAATTTACTCAAATCACAAGTAAAATATAGCAGAGCAGAGCTAAGTGTGAGAGAGATTTTGCAGGACTTTGGAAACATATATTGCTTATTCTTGTGTGGAATTCATAGATATCTTCCTGGGCTGGGTATTACCATAAGATCAGTTTTGCAAGTGTCATTGGCCAATTAGCTGGGATGTGTCAAGGCCAGCATCCTGTTCATGTGATCACAATGGAATGTACAATGAGAAGTGAATGAGCTTTGTGAAGGCGTGTAGCTAATGCAACACACCTAGCCAACAGATTTACACCTGGCTTTGGTGCCCGGCCCCCTCTCATCAAAAATAAAATATCTAAAATAAAACATCTAAAAGCCAATTATTATACTAGTTACTATTGTTCCACATCACCCGCCAGCTCAAGCTCTTTCCTCGCCAGTGGGGATTCTTTCCACATTCCACATCCCAAGTGCCATTTTATTACGCTTGGGATCAGTAGAATACGCCACCACCTTTGCCTTTTCTCCAGGCCACACTGGACCTCACCTATAAAATCCTTCCTCTGAGAGGAGGTGGGTCTTTATTTTTTTGAAATGCATGTTAAGTAATATAACACAATTCATTCATTAGGATACTCATCCTGAGATCTTTTTGGTTTTGTTGTTCCAGTCTTTAAAAAGAGTGGCTGATAGTGCCCTTTTAAAAGATAGAACATAGACATTGTTTTTATGTCATTGTTTCAATTTGATCAAAAATGGCCTTTGCCTAAGAATATTTAATTTGTGCTTGAAATTGCGCAAAATGAAAAACTGTGGGCAGCCTGCGTGCTGGCTATTCTTTACGCTCACATAACCATGTTATAAAGAAAAATTGACACGATTCATTATTCATTGGGACATTATTTATACATTTGAATCTGAGCTCGTCTTTTTTTAGCTGTTTTTCATTATTGAAAGAAACAAGGGCTGAACGGTGCAGAAGTCTTTAAAAATATGTTAAAGATCACAGTGTCTTTTTTATCTACATATAAATTCCTCTCCAATGAGATTATTGAGGCAATTGCAATTAATTTATGAAGTGTTCACTCTCCAAAAGGTTAACATTGTTTAAGAAATGTATTGACTGAAACACAAAGTAGCCTACACCATACTTATCCTGAGGCTAAAGTGCTGACCAACTCATTAACCTCTCACACAAAAAGCTCTGTTGTATACAAAATGAAGAAGGAAAGAACAAATCTAATTAATTACATTAACATTTTTGTTTAAGAAAATAAGAATTCCTTGAGCTACACATTTCCAATGAAGCAGCATTCAGAAATCAGAAATCGCTTTATTGGAAAAATACACAGGAATTTGACATGGTATCCCAGCGCAACAGGACAGATTAAATAACAAATGTTAAAAAATAGCAGAAAAAAGGTACATATGATAAGTTTGGGTGTTTTTAGGTGTCGATATCTTTAAGTGACTGTAAAAATGGTTGGAGGGAGGTGATGTCCTTATTTAAGAGGGTGGTAGCCTGGGGGAAAAAAACTGTTCAGGTGCCTGGTGGTTCTGGTCCTGATGGATCTGAACCTTCCACCTTGATGGGAGGGGTATAAATAGGGAGTGAGCTGGGTGAAACAGGTCCCCCACTATCCTCTTAGCCCTCTTCTGGGATCTTCTATCGTGAAGAACACACAAAGGCTCCTGTTGGAGGCCTGGATGCGGGGTACCACACAGTGATGGAGGAGGTGAGGATGCCCTCAATGGAGGCTCTGTAGGAGTAGGAGCGAACCTTGGGGGAGACATTCATCTTGCTGAGCAGTATGAGGAAGAACCTCTGATGCGCCCGCTTGATGACCTTGGTCGAGTGTGTCTCCCACTTGAGATCGCTGGTGATGGTAGTGCCCAGGAACTTCACAGAGTTCATTCACCTTAATTTGTTATTCTTTAAATCCATATAGCAAAGTAAACTCCTATAAGTGTCACTCGGGACAGCAGAAAGCATTCATTTCACTGGTTGTACAAGCCAATGAAATCAGCTGGATTTAGACCCCCAGTGGAATGTCATTTAATAGTTTGGCTGTAGTGTTATTGTCTGAAGAAACAAAATATTCCTGGATGGAAGACTGGAAACCAAGTAATAATCAACACATGTTAAAACATGCAGAAAATGTACTCTAAACATTTTATTTCCACTTATGTGTTAAAAATGGCAGGCTTTTCTAGGCCACCAGTCTAAATATAGCATCAGTATCTCTTTGAAACAATTGCAGCTGAGTGTGATGCAGAGAGCTGACACATGCATCAGCTGATTTCTAATATCTGACTCACCCTCTAGCCCTGTCTAAGAGACTATCAAACAGACATTCACAGATAACCAACGGCAAATGGTATTAATTCATTAAAATAATCAAGCTTTAAGCAAAGCAAATGTTGAATTCTGTATAAGCAAGGTACGGCACTGTTTATAATGTTTTTTTGTTGTTGTCTGTTTTTTTTTGTTTGTTTTATTACCTTGTCCTGTTCAGCATTATGGCAGCAGAACTGAAATCTGAGAACGGTGCTATGCTGAACAAATTAGCTTTGCCAAGGGAGGCTTTGTTAGTGAGAAACCACCCCTTGGTTACCCAAAACTGCTTTATTTATTCATTTTTGTTACCAAACTTGCCTTTGTCCAATACTTCCGAACCTGACAGAGGGACAGGGAAGAAAGAAGAGCAGTGGAAAGGACAGAGATCCTTTAGACAGAAAGAGAAAGGGAAAAAAAAAGAAAAAGAAAGAAAGACAACAAGACCATACAACCAGCTCCTTTGTCTGTAAAAAGGACACTGTTCCTTGCGGGGAATTCGGGTGGAGAACCTATAGGAGCTCCTGCAAAAGGACACAGGGAAGACAAAAGAACAAACAAGCAGCAAAAGCACCAACACTAGTAGCAGGGACATTAGTGAGCTTCTCTGAATTGTGCAGCAATGGTACAGAAGCTTAAGGAGGTGTGTGTCTTGGTATCTGACTCTGTCTGTGTGAAAGAATGAGAACCCGTAGCCCAGGTTTCCCAGATTGTGCTCAGTTATGGTGCAGAGGGGCCACCAGCGGAAGCCCCCCCCTTCCAGCGTTCCGGAGAGGGTAGAGAGTGCCCCCAGACCCGGTCACCCAGGAGACATCCGACCACAGATCCCAGGAAGACAACCACAGAGACGACCAGGCACCAGCCCAGAAGGCAACCAGGAAAGCCCCCCAGAAGAGCCACCAGAGGCCCCCCAGGAACCGTGAGCAACAGCAAACCAGCCCCCACCAGACCCGTCCCCTAGACACAGGCCGAGAACTGGAACCCAAGCCCTGTGAGCCTGAGCGCCACCAACCCCCACCCAAGCAGAAGCCCACCCCCCCAGCATTTGAAGAGGCCAGGTGCCCCAGACGCAGCGGGCCAGTAAGACCCCCAACGTCCGTGACTCCTGGGGGCCATGGTGTGCCCGATGGTCGGCACAGCAGTGGGGAAAATCACTGTTCATAATGTTAAAGATGTTGTGAGAGAGCTATACAACACTGTGCATAACAGTGGTGAGAATTCTAAAAGTATACTTAATTAGACAATAATAAACAGGCCTGGATAGAACCCAGAGAGAACCCACGCAGACACACGGAGAACATGCAAACTTGTCACAGAAAGATCTTGGGTCCCCGCACTCGCACAGGACATGAGAAACGAGGACTATTTAAACACATGAGGGAGGGGAACCCCAGGTGTACACAATAGGTAATCAAGACATAACGAGACACCAGACATAACGAGACACCAGACATAACGAGACACCAGACATTCCCCCAGACGTGACAACTTTACTTTAAGTGTTCAACATTCACAGGTGTTTGTGTTTGTTTCTTTTCTGTCTGTTCACAGCCTCTGAAATCATCTACAGGAACAGTGATGGCCACGTCATCAAATTCAACATCCTCACAAATGAGACAGAGATTGTCCTGACAAACTTGACATTTGTAAGCATAGAGTTTTGGTACTTATACAATCAAACCCCAGTTGAGGTTTTGGATATGACTGTTAAAAGAAAATATCTTTATTTTTGCCAGTGAAGCCAAGCCAAGGGCAACATTTAAGACAACACATTGGGTTTGAGAGTGGGTGTGGGGAGTAACACAAAGACAAGAAAAAAAACCACACTCTTAAGAATGATATATAGTAAAGATTGCTGTGAAATACAGTTCGTAAAGATTTAGTTAATAATTGATAAAGCTGTAAAGATATCCAAACATTCAACTTGTCTTGCATAATAAGCATTAATAAGCATTAATGCCCATCCTTTATATGATTTCCACCAGATTAATTTCAACGTAGCCAAGTATTCCCTGTCCCCAGACCTGAAATATGTACTCTTCGCATATGATGTGAAACAGGTAAGATCCTGAAAACTCAGAGGGTGATTGTTGTGTCATACCGAGACATATAAAAAAGCATGATTTTGGATGCTTGACTTTTATGTTGTTTTATTGTTCAATTAGAATTACAACTGTTGTCTATGGTGGGCAAGACGTGCAAACCATTTTACCATTACAAATTCTGAAACACTTTTACAATCTCTGAAACACCTTTAAAAAATCTGAAACACTGCAGCCCAAAACAGAGGTTTAGACGGTATATAGTTGCTGTGATGACATGGAAACATGGAAACACATTTTTTTGTGTTTGTGTTGCATGTAGATGACGTCATATGTTGGTTGAACCATTATGGCCAACCAATTTGGTCAATTTTGTCAAGTAAAAAAACACCTATACCGTGTAGGGATGAGTAGGTACTAATTGAAAGGCGCCACAAGTGATCTGAAATAGGCAGTAGGAAAAGAATGGTTGAAGATGGTATTTTGATCTTTAATTCTTGCTTTGTCTTTGTTGCAGATTTATCGCCACTCGTACGTGGCCTCCTACAGCATCTACAATATCCATTCAAGGTGAGAGTTCTGTAATGGCTGCTTGGAAGCAACTTTTGGGTTAAAAACACCTCACATCACTCACATGGTTTGCAAATTCTTCTTATACTTTATAGTTAAAGCTAAACATTTTAAATATATCACATTGCTATCTGTTTTAATGTATCTAAGATTTACTAAATAAATGGCTGACATTTGTTGAATTGTCTCTTTTATTTCAAATGTTATCTGAGAATCAGTCTTATTGACCAATAGATTGGTCTGAATGTGTGGGACTATCGGCAGCTTTTTTAAAAATCATTTACCATAAGAAAAGTTTTGCAATGCTACAATGGAGGAAATCTCAGTTTTATTAAATAATCAACCAAAGGAGAAAATTAATGATTCATCCTTATTTAAAACTTGCAACAGAATCAGAATCAGAAATACTTTAATAATCCCAGAGGGAAATTATTTTTGTAACTAATTCCAGAAATACAACAGCATATACATATATTATATACATGTCTATACATATATATATACAAAATTCCACACAAAATGTAAATAAATATATACATATGTAACTATATGTATATATATAGATCTAAAATAAGTGATAAGTGATGACCACAGGCAGGAATGATTTCTTGTGGCACTCTGTGGTGCATCTGGGTGAAAGGAGTCTTTTGCTGAAGGAGCTCCTCCGCTGGGCCACTGTGTCGTAAAGAGGGTGTGACACATTGTCCAATATGGACTCAAGCCTGGACAGCATCCTCTCTGCCATGGTCGTCAGAGTGTCCAGCTCCTCCCCTACCAAATCACCGGCCCTCCTGATCAGTTTAAGTCTTTGCTGTCACCGAACTTCAGCCCACTGCCCCAGCATGTGACAGCAAATAAGATCACACTGGCCACATAACCTCAGCTTCCTCAGGAAGAAGAGTTGGCTTTGGCTCTTTTTGTAGACCGCCTCGGTGTTTCTAGTCTGGTCCAATTCATTATTTAAGTAGACCCCCAGGTACCTATACTCCTCTACAGTGTCTACAGGGACCCCCTGGATGGAAACAGGGTCACATGTGTTTTTGCCCTCCTCAGATCCACGATTAACTCCTTAGATGCACATGTACACATGGTTCAGCTCACATGGTTCAGCTCACTCCAAGTGACAAAGTTGCCCACCACAGTCCTATATTCACCCTCATCACCCCTTTCAATGCAGCCAACTATTGCTGAGTCGTCAGAAAACTTCTGAAGGTGGCAGGTGCAATAGCTGAAGTCTGAGGTGAAGAGGGTGAAGAGGAAGGGAGAGAGGACAGTCCCCTTAGGAGCCCCGGTGTTGCTGATCACCCTGTCAGACACACAGTTCTGTAGGCATACAACACATTTTGTTACAAATGACCTGTTCCAACAAAGTACTGCAATACACTTATGAAAGTTTCAAAAGTTGTGTTTTGATTGTCTATAATATTTTCAGGGAAGTTTGGGAGCTTGATCCCCCCGAGGTGGTGAACTCTGTTCTTCAGCATGCTGCCTGGGGAGTACAAGGCCAACAGCTGGTGAGAATACATCAAAAACTGACATTTTAGAGTAAAGATTTATGATTGGTTCTGGATGAGTGGTGAGTATAATATTGACTATTGAGTATAAATTGGACCATGACCGATTCCCCCAATAGGTTTTATTCAGCCATTTGGAGAGCGTAGTGAGAGCATAGCTTCTGTCCGTCTGAATATGCCAGACGGTTTCCGTTATACAATACGGACTATCTGTGCATGTATCGAACATATATCTTTTAGTAAGTCATTATGGCGATACAAGTGTAGTAAGTGAAACATGGCAACCACTTCTGGCTGTCTGTTTGAAGTTTGAAACACAATACATCTTTTAAAACAGCAACAAAACTGTTTTGTACTCAACTAGATAAAAGACTCCGATAAATGGGAGGTCTTTCACTTATCTCCTTTTAAATTATGGGTCCTTTCATGACTTTTGAAGTCATCTTGGATAAAAGATTGATTTCTACTCATTCCACAAAAGGTGCTAAAATTTCAGAAATGTTTACTTTGCGGACTCAGACAGATTGTAACATGAAACTATGTTTTCTTGTAGAATTTTTAATCCTACAATTGATTGTATTGATGCTCGAGCACATGATGAGAACACTCAAAAACATTTAAAAAAGTTCTAAATATTTTTGGAGCACAGTATAGATTGTGACTGTATGTGCTTTTCTCAACAGATCTACATATTTGAAAATAACATCTATTACCAATCTGATGTCAAGGGCAACTCCCTTAGGCTAACATCATCAGGAAAGGAGGGAGTCATTTTTAATGGAATTGCTGACTGGCTCTATGAAGGTATTTTTTTTACTTGTCTCAAAGCAAAATCATGGGGGCTACTCACAGAAAAATTAAACACATAATAGAAATTAAAACTCCTCTGGGCAGGAAGATTTCTGTCTTCGTTTTTTGCTTTAAAATACGTTGCCACTACTCTTGAGCAGCAAAGGAAGCAAGTGAGCCTCTCATGTAGGCGACACAAGAGCAAAACCATCTCTTATCAATGATTGTAACTCAAAGGTGACGCGTTGATACTTTCCTCCCTCCGGGACTGGGATAGGAGACAAATCTAGCAGGCACAAGTTCAATTCAATTCAACTCAGTTTAATTTATATAGCGCCAAATCAAAACAACAGTTATCTCACGGCGCTTTCCAAACAGAGCAGGTTAGACCCTACTCTGAGTTATTTACAGGAGCCCAACAATTCCCATGATACTATTGGCGTTTTTATGGCTCTGCTCAGTGTAGGTGGTTTCCATTAGAAATTACAGCCGAACAGGAAGAAAGGCTGACTGGGAAGCAATGTCATTTACATGCGACACAAGCACAGGATGACAAGGAGGGACATCTCGGCAACTATAAACCGTTGCCTCAGTGTTGGACCGTGGTGTTGGTTACTGTATTATGCATTTACGATGTTCATGACCACAGGAATGATTAAATCAGACGTTTTTATTGCTTTGATTTGAAAATGGGCGGCATTTTCCTTATGGAGTTGCTTTGTAATCATGTGACTTCCTGACCAATCAGCAACCTTCCACTGGCCACTGGCCCATCTCAGATCTGATGGAACCACAACCGAGTCAGTGCTGAAGTTGTAACTAATTCCAGAAATACAACAGCAAATACTGTGAAGTAACTGTTTAGTGGGGCCAGCACCTAGTGGAAATGCAGTGTAGAGCTGTGCCGTGCTGAGTATACGTCAGTGGAAAAACGACACAAAAAAGAAATAACTGTTTCCTCAGAGGTCATTTCAGCCTGATTGTCGAAATCGTGTAAAACTTGTGTCTCATCTTTCAATAACATCTTTAAAGTTTTCTGGGACACTTGGTTTGATACCTCACTCCGCGATGTGCACCACTGGATATCTTAAATAGTCATTTGTTCCGATAAATTCCATGGAAACACATTTGATAGTCTGCGGTACCTGCATTTAAACCTCATGGTCTTTTTAATATCTTTACACAATCTGCTTTACTTAACTGTGAACTTTGTTTCCCCCATTTCCTCACATGTACCATATCTTTCTAACAAAAACATATTTTATCCTCCCTGGAAAGTCCCAATCAAGGACTTTACCTTCCAAGAATGTCTTATTGATGTAATGTTTTATTGTTTGGCAAGCTTAATTTCCTACAGCACACAAGACACTCAATATAATTTTCTAGGTCATAATTTCATATGGCATTTTTAAGAACTTATTAATACAAATTTTGACCAATTAGTATTTATCTTCTAAAACTTTTACGACTTGAAAGTCACAGCTTCCTCTCTCCGTGCCCAGAGCAATTAAACTTGAAATTTGGAATTGGTTTAACGTTTGCCCAAAACCCCATCCCCATGAATAAAAAAAACCTGGAAGACGGCCAGAAGAAAAACTTTATTTATTATTTAGCATCTTGTCTTCTTGCTGCCATTATGTCTTTTGTTACATGTTTCCCATGTTACTTTGTTGCTTTCTCGTCACCCTAAACCACTGCAAACCAACCTGATAATCCAAGCCTTGCAACAACTGATCATTTAATTTTTCATAATTTGTTCTTAAGGTTTCTCAAAATTTGGGTAATCTCACTGGGGTTTGTTTCCCAATTAACCCAATTTCTGTTACCCAGAAAACAGTCCTGTAGTTTGTGTTTATTAGTTTTGGCACAACATTTCAGCAGACCTGCTTATTGGAGAAGAACATAGCGATCTAACCAGACAACACCGTAACTTATTAAATTTTAAAAAGTACATAAATTAAACATATGAAACCGTTAGGGCCTTGAATTTATTCTAAAACAGAAACAGCAGGGCCCCTGTTAAGTTACGCTATAGATATTCAGAATTTATCACAACATTTAACTGCAGGGTACCACAGACCACTAGATGTCACTGTGGTTCTATAGAACATTTGGTTATAACAAATCTCAGCAACTCAGAATCTGTGGGGACAATTTGGTCATTTTGCTCAACATTGCTATTTTAGAAAAAATGGGTGAGATTATTTTCGGTATATAGACAGGCTGCAGCTGAATAAAAGATAATTGAATATTACAATGATTTTGTGGCAGTCGTGCCACCGTGGGTGCCTCGACAGAGAGCGTCCGAGACCAGGTTTTGTTGGTTCGACGGGTTTTATTCAGAGCGTGTGTGCCACACGCACACACACACTTTCTCACACACAAGCACCCACTCACGCACGCACCCAGCGTTGGGCTCTTTTTGTGGTTTTGGTCGTGGTGCCGATGCTGTGGCTCCGGGGACTCTCCAACACCAGTCCTCCCCTCCAGGTCCAGCACGCTACTCTTTTACAGAGGGGAGAGTGATTAGCCAACTGATTACAAGTGTGCTTAATCACCTTCCCTGGCACTGCTCCCCTGAGCCTTCTCCACACCTCCCCTCCTGCAGCTGAGCGCCACGCCCCCTCCACAGCTTTATTTAAGTGCAGACATCTCAATTATTGTGAGGGGTCAAATGATGCACTTTATGTAAACACACATGAACAGCACATACTCAACTTGTTTTGCAAGCTTTTTGGGAGAATGAAAAGTTTATTTAAAATGCAAGCATCAGGTAGGCTACTCTTTTATTGTGTTGTTTGTTTCCTCTTGGTGGATTAATTTTTTTAGATGTATTACACAGCAATTTAGGATAGTTATCCAGAGTTAGTCCCCTAAAGTCCCATTTTTAAACTGGCAGCTATTTATGTCTACTTAAATGTATTGAGTGTTTACCAATAGTAAATGTAATTGAAGCCTTTCTGTCATTCTAATGGAGTTTATAAAGTTGATCAGAGTATTTTGGACAGGGGTTTCAAACTCCAGTCCTCGAGGGCCGCAGTCCTGTAGGTTTTAGAGGTTTCACTGCTTCAACACATCTGATTCTGATTAAGTGGGTCAGTTCAAAGGCTCTGCAGAACTCTCATAATGGCACACTGACATTAATGAGGTGTGTTGAAGCTGAGAAACCTGCAGTACAGTGGCCCTCAATGACTGACTTTGGACGCCCCTGATCTAGGAGAACCTCTGATGAGTAATAAAAAACTCATCAAAAGATAATGCACCTAAACATGTGGATAAATTTACACACCATCAAACTCCTCCCTTCGCCATCTTATTCCCCAGACCTTTAGATGCAGATAAAAAACCTTTCAAGGAAAAAGAGCAGTGGAGAAGACCCAGGACTGGATCATTTTAGAGAGATTGTGCAAAGAGGAATTGTTGAAAATTCATCAGTATGTATTTTCCCATCTCATTGAATATTACAGGGAAGATTAAGGGAAGTCTTGGCAAAAGGAAGTTGTACAAAGTATTAACTTTGGGGGTGCCAATAATGATGACACACCTGCTTTCATGTATGAGAATTATTTCTCGATGTGGATTTTTATCATCCCACAAAAAAGCACTTAAATAATAAATATTTTTTATTGCTGTCCTACACTATTAAAAAAAATCTAATTCATTAGACACTTAAGATCATATCTTAAGGGGTGCCTATAATTGTGGAGGGTGATTTATTCAGTGAAATTCCTTCTTATTCTGAAATTAATATAAAACTTTAGACTGATTTGAGAACTAAGTGTCTTTTTATACAGAGGAGATCCTGCACACCCATATGGCTCACTGGTGGTCTCCCGATGGAGAGAGGTTGGCCTTCCTTGTTCTCAATGACACTCTGGTGCCGAATATGGCTTTACCTCGCTTCACTGGTGTGACGTACCCAAAAGGAAAACAATATCCCTACCCCAAGGTAACCTGTGAAATATTTTCAGCCACATCTTGAGTCAGAAAACTTTTCCGTTTGCATTTGTGTCAGTATTTTACATAGTAGCTTTTTGAATGTTATGATTTGTTTTTATTTCTTCATTCCCTGTAAATTTTTGTCATGTGCAGATGATAAATTCATAGCACAGTTGAACATTCTGGGCAGCTACAGATTGCTAATTTATAGAGAGTTTCTGATTGCTGCTCAAATCAAAATTTTATAGCACAAGTCAAATTAAATACACATAGCTAAGATAGGACCACTCACTTGGATTTTTCTGAACTATGGTCTTAAACCTTTGATAAGCTGATGAACACCCTTTTTTGGTCACATTGTTGTTTTCAATAAATTGGTGTCTCAATTTATTATTTTTTATGTTCACTTTGTGTCTGCTTCCTCCCACCTTCCAACCCCACCTCCCCTCTGCAACCCTACTTGCTATAAGTGTGTGTGAATGTATGACTACATCAGCAATTTTTGAAAATAAACTTTTATACATACACATGCCCTTAAAATGTGCTAGTCTTTGCATCATGACACAAGTAATTACATGATAAGTCGCATTCAGCAGGTTTTCAGAGTTTTTCTAAAGTAACTATCTGGATTAATCATTTGTATCGCCGCCTATTTAAAAGAAACTGTTCAAATTTTGAAAAGCATTCAAGGCAGTTGTATAAGCGATTTTCTGTTGCAACTATGTGATGTTGGCATCTTTTTCTCTGTGCAGGCTGGCCAACTCAACCCAGTGGTGAAGCTCTGTGTTGTCAATCTTTATGGGCCAACGCACACATTGGAGCTCATGCCCCCAGAGGCACTCAGGCTGCGGTGAGACGAGCTGCGTGTTGTCTGTTGAGTTTAAATCAATCAGTTACTGCGCCACTTAAGAGTAACACTTTTTACTCTTTATAAGTTCGATGACTCTCACAAAAACCCTTGCACCTTCACTAAAATATTCTTACAAGCTGTGACCCCCTTACTGTGCCCTTGCATGGTAGTTCCTGCTCTATTAAACAAATAAATGAAAGACAGATAAAAAACAATTAATCTTATTCAGGCTGTAGTTAGGAAAAAGATGTGATTTGTAGCTGATAAATTACAAAAAGTAGTTCACTTTTCAGAATTCACGACTGTAATTCGTAAACTAAAAAATATTTGTTAAACAGCACTTCATTGTCAGTTTTTTGTCTATAAAAATCCACAAGGCCTAGTTCTACATTCGATAAAACACTGCTATGGCATAATTCCTGTCTACAATTTCACAAATTCTAATTTTATTCTTACTAGTATGCCCTACTTTTCATTACCTTGGAATTTGTACTTTTGAAATATATTGTTTAGTGTATAAAATGAATATAGAACTTTATATGACCAATGAAACTGCAACATTTTTCGTAGTGAGCATTATGTGACCATGGTGAAGTGGATCAGTAAGACCAAGACATCTGTCAGGTGGTTGAACCGGGCCCAGAACAGTTCCATCCTCACTTTGTGTGATACTACCACCGGAGCCTGCATCACGGTCTGTTTGCATTTTTTATGTCAATCAATTTTATGGCAATCACACAGACAGATTTAATCTGGTTAGAGATTAGAATTTATCTCTGTAAATAACCTTTACCAGTCCAACAAAAAGGTCAGTTCATGCCACTGTGGGATCCATTCTCAATATGTTCCCCACAAGATGGTAATGCACAATGACAGCAGAAATGAGGCATTGATTCTTTGATGGAGCAGACTTTTGAATCTTCTTGAGGAGTACTGTCCCAAAGTTTATTAAGTTAATTTCAGTTGCATCTGTGCTATCAAAGGTGAGTTTACAAATTGAAAGGTTGATCAAGGTTAAGGCTGTAACATCAATTTCGATTAAGGTTGAGAAAGGTTTTTAAACAGCAGCTGTTGCCTCCGACTCAACACATCAGCTTTTCCCTATACAAAACATTTCCTAAACATCTTTACGATTTTCTTCCATGGAGTATGACACTACTTTCTTTTCTCCACACATAACACATTCTACTAAACGGATGTAAGAAAGAAATATTGCATCCACAATTAGTGTGACAATTAATATGACAGATTGCCAGTCCATCGCAGGGCCGCACAGAGAAAAAGCAAGGCAAACAAACATGCACACTCATTCCTATGCTCAGTTTAGTTTCTTCACTTAACCTAACTTGTATGTTTTTGGACAGGAATGTTAAGGTAACAAATTATTCTGTATGAAAAAATAGGCATTGAAGGGCTGTTCTAATAAAGCTTTACACATGAATAATTTCTGCATGGAGGTTGCTTCACTGCAAGTTTAGTTGCACAGCAGTAAGATTCCCAGTTCTAATCTTGGTGTGAGTCCTATGTGGAGCTTGCATATTCTCTATCACTATATGATCCAGAAACATGCATGTTAACTTTATTAGTGTCTCTAATTTGTCCCTAGGAATGAGTGTGTATGGTGGTTTGTTTGTCTCTGTATAGGCTTGTAATGTGTATCAGGTGTATCAGAGTATTTTTTGTGCTCCCCCAAGGAGCTAATAACAAAGAAAAGATACAGTATATGATGTTTGTGTTAACACCAGTGTGATATTCTGTTCTGACATGTTTTTAGAAACACGAAGAAAGCTCTGAACTATGGCTTTCCAAGCAGGTAAAGCCGAATATATTTTATTTGTCATGTTCTGTGTGCATCATTTTAAAATGTGTGAGATTTCTGTTGTTGTTGCTGTTTTTCTTGACTTGTATTTGCTTTTTCCATTTATTATTTTGAATTATGTTCATTTTTGTGCTTTGGAGTTTATGACTCACTGAATGAGACTTGCTTTTCAGCATTTTCACCCTATTTCCCTTCCTTAATATAGAATTTAATGAAGACCATTTGTAATGAGCCTTGGGAGAACGTTTGAATGATCAAGCTAAGGGCCACATAACACTCTTGGTCTTGTGTCAAGTTTTTATGAGATCTTTCCCTGTCCTTTAAAGACAATTGTTTCCAACTGACTGAACAAACTGCTAAAATATCTTTAGAGCTTGAATAAATGGAACTGGACTTCCTTTTGCAAAGTGATGCAAATTAAAAGTTGGTGAATTAAAAAATGAAAGTGCAAGGAAATTACAAGAAGGTCTCTTGTTACCAAACCTAAGAATGCTCTTTTTAAATGGATTTTTACATCTACAATTAAAGAAGTATTCAGACAACTCTGGAGACAACTTTGTATGCAAGTTAAAAGGCTGAAACCAAAACAAAATTATGATGGTATTTTGGATGCTCAGGTGACAGTTTTTTGTTGTTGTTGTGGAACATCCTTAATGACCTCTGTAAACCTTCCTAGAATACAATTAATAATTACTTTGATCCACTTGTTGATACTTTATCACAGTAAAAAATAAATAAAAAATGTGTTATTTGTATATGTAGATTTTAAAAAGTCTTAATTTTCTAAACACAGAACTCAAGCCTTGATTTAAAACAGCCTCCATAAACCTTGGTGTTTTTGTTTTAAAAAACAAAAAATTTCATCAAATGAAAATTCATCAGATTCAACCTTTACCTTTTACTTTGCCCTCATGTTTTTCAATATCATTAAAAAATTATCCCGCGACCCCATGAGGGAATAAGCGGTATTGATAATGGATGGATGGATTAAAAAATTCTCAGATTTTGTATGTTATGAAATTTTCCATGAAAAGTGAGTCGTTTCTGATTCCAAAAAGCAAATTTAAAACAAACATATATTCATTCTTGTCTTCCACAGAATCAAGAACCTATTTTCTCTAAAGATGGCAACAGGTTTTTTCTGACTGTTCCAGTAAAGCAAGGAGGTCGAGGAGAATTTCATCACATTGCGATGTTCACGACACAGGTGAGGACTCATCTAAGATTGATTTTATACTGGACCCATTATGACACTCAAAGACACACATCAAATCTGTGTTGTCTATCCCACTGATGAACCTACTTCAGCCGGCAGTCTCCAAGATAAAATATGTTGTTGCTAATAAACTTAAGTATAACAGAGGAAATTACTAGTAAACGGAGCATGTAATCAGATCAAGAGTTTTTTAAAACAATTGTCTACAAAAGAAGGATTCGGGTGGGTGTACAAAATGGAGTCACTTTTTTATAGGTAGTTCCATCTATACATCCATTTTCTGCTTATTCCCAACGGGTTCATGGTAGGGCTAGAGCCTACACCCTCTGACAACGGGCGAGAGGCGGGGTATGCCCTGTACAGGTCACCAATCCATCCAGGTCTTGGTTCCCCCGGGGTACTAGAACCAGGAACCCTCTTGCTACGAGGCGACGGTGCTAACCACCACACCTCCTATTTAATTCATTTAAAAAAATGAGTTGGGTCTGTTAAAAGGGTAGAACAAACAATAATGATAGTTAAGCATATGTAGTAAGTATCTTGAATCTAGGCTGAAAAATCAATATGAATCCTTTTTATCAGATGGATATAAGGTGTTTTCAAAAGTCACATTTCTAGATATTGTGCAATTCTCTATAGGAATAGGCTTTTCTGAAATGTTAGCAATGGAAGATGTTTTTTTCTCTGAGCTGTGTGACCCACTATTACTCTGTTGTATTGTTTTACAAAAGATACAATCATGTTTAGAAATACTCACTATTTTAGATAAATTATGTTTAGACATTCCCATACAGCATTCATGTCACACTCATGCATAACTTAAAAAAAGAGCACCCACAGTATTTATATTTTCCAATCAAGTTTTTCTTGTATTTTGTATTTCTGATATGCTTGTTTCTTTGATTTTCAGTTCAAGGCAGATCAAAACTCCAAAGTCCGACATTTAACGTCAGGGAACTGGGAGGTGACCAAGATTATCACCTATGATGAGAACACTGATAATCTGTAAGTCTCTAAAAGAAATGGAACCCAAACCAAACTAACACAGGCACATGTTACAATATCTATATATATTATTCAACATATTTAATGGCGCGGATTGTGTCATGTTTTCTCTCAACAGCTATTTTCTTAGTACAGAGGGCTCACCACGAAGGCGACAACTTTTCAGGTTTTCCAATATTATGATAAATTATTTTTCAATAAAATGTTTCAACTTTTCAAGTATCTCATCCTACTCTTCAATTCTTTATTGTTTTCTCTTCCCAGTGTGAAAACTGTGGATCTGTTCCCCCGACGTTGTTTAACATGCGAGTTAAATAGGGCTCATTGTCTGTACCTTGATGCTGACATCAGCCCCACAAACCAGCACGTTATTCTCCACTGTAAAGGTACACCATCAGTTATACAGTTTTTTCTCCATACTCCTTCTGTTAAAGTCACATTCAAACAGCACTTTAAAGATAGATAGATAGATAGATAGATAGATAGATAGATAGATAGATAGA